GCGGCCGACCCAGGTTCGAATCCAACCTTTGTGAAAAACTGAAAAAAAAAAAATAAAACAATGAAGAGTTAAAAGCTAAAGAATAAAATACTGAACTGTGAATTGTTTTAACAATATAAAACTGTGCGCCTGGAGAATAAATAACCAATATGCAGCTGTGGACATTTTTGCAGTAATGGATATTTGAAAATAGCAGCAACATCAGAGATGTGCAAAATGACAGCAGCGTGTTATTTAAGCGACTAAAGTAGAAACTGTGCAAAATCAGCATAAATGTCAAACTTATTGAGGATGTTGGGAACAGTGGTGGTCAGTGACGTGCACAGATAGACACTAGGTGGTGCTAAAGCACCTGCCCTTTTCACACTCTGGACAAAAAAGTACCCTCCTGAAAATGTGTTTTGGGTTTTTTTGTCTTTGGCCCAAAATACTAATTATGAATTTGAAAGCCTATCAAACCAAGAGTCTAGATTTTTGTAATTTAACCCTAACCCTTCATAGAGCCTTGCCTTGGTGAAAGGTCACCTAACCATCCAGGTAACTAAACAAACGTATTTACCTCCTTTAGCAACTGGTTAGTTCACAGCATAATGTCTTTAATGGCCTCTATCAGGCACCAAGAAACATTTTTAAATTCAACTTTTTGATTAAATTAGAAAAAAATGTAAATTAAAGTATCTCATACATGTAATAATTGATTTTTCGGTAATGGGACTCCCTGATTACATCTATTTGACTTTTTATGATAACTACAGCAAACAAGTTATCTTTTGTCTGTTTAACATTTAATTTAAAAGCAAGCATAAAGCAAATGATTACAACTCATATAAATTACTTTAATAAAGTTCTATTCTGCTAAAGTGGAGGGAGGAGAAGATGCTGCATTTCCAATTTCTGTTTATCTGGGACTGCCAAAACTGACTTAAAATAATGTAAAATTTTCATAAAATAATTGTATTCACACTTACCGGTAATCTGAGAGGGAAAATAAGATGATCTGTCAGTGGACTGAGAGTGTTTAACCTTTAACATAAGATTATTACATATTATGCACTTGAAATTAGATAATAGATTGTGGTTTTTCATATTTTAAATGTAAATCTTAGTTCATCTGCAGATTGTCATTTATACCCAAGTGACTTAAAGATATTTGGCAATCCTGGGTTTTATAATAGTGGAATGGAAATTGTTATCTATTTAAGTGACACCAATGTGGCATTGCTACCAAGGGACTCCGGAAGATCATTAAAACCTCAGCATCAGGCAGTGTTTGGCTGTTGGCAGCTCCATGAAGCGTATAAGGTGCCCTTTTTTCAACCTAAGCACCTGCCTCCAAAAATGTCTGTGAACGCCACTGGTGGTGGTTATAGAGTCTTACAGCTGCTGGGAGGCAGGATCTGTGATAACTCTCCCTGATGCATTTACGGTGCAGCACCAGTTCTGCTCCTGCATCCAGTTCTGCAACAGTTTCATGCTGGCGGGATAGAATATCAGACTGAGATGTTCATTTGGTTAGGATCCTTTTGTTTCCCACCTACTGCACTGAGTCCAGAGGGCATCCAGTCTTACTGCTGGCCTTCCTGATCAGCTTATCCAGCAACTTTCTCTCAGCTAAAGACAGCTCCAATGATGATGGCTGATGCCACCGTCATAGAAGGTCTTTAGTAGTTTTTCCTGCACTTCAAAACACCTGAGTCTCCTCAGTAGGAAGAGTCTGCTCTGGCCTTTCTTATAAATAGCCGAAGTGTTGTGAGTCCAGTCCAGTTTGTTATAGCATGAATGAGCTTAACTGATCCAGAGGCGAACGGTAAAAGTGAATATCACTGTTTTTGCTTAGCAGCTGTATGAGCAGTGACTTTATAAAAAAAAAAGCTTTTCAAACATTCTGAGAATTTGATGTTCAGGATTATTCTGATTTCATGTTTTTTGTTGAACCATTGACAGCCGCGAGTTTATGGAGTGCATTTGGTGCCTTTATTGCTGCAAGCAAAGAACACATTTTTTAAATGAAAAGAACAAACAGAGACACATAAAGACATACTACCATGCTCACACTAACTATTTTTTTCTTAGCCAAATTACCTAACAGTCCTGGTTTTGGATTCTGGGAGGAACCTGGAGTACCCAGAGAGAGCCACACATGCACAGGGAGAACATGCAAACTTAATGCAGTAAAACATCGGGCCAGAAATTGAACCCAGAACCTTCTTACTGCAGTGATACAAGCTGGACCAGACTGCAGCCCTGAAAGAGTCCTTAATTCAACTATTCCTTATTCCAGCACATTAGTTATGTTTTTGATAAAAATCCTTTTGCTAAAATGACATCAGAACCCTTATAATATTAAGTGTGTCTCAGCTGTGTCTTTTGTCGCTATATTTAGTGACTTTTAGGACGCCTCTAGCACATTTATTTTTAAAAAAGCACCTAGCGCCAAAT